CACCAAATCGACCGCACAAAGGTGCACGGTTGTTGGTCGTATCAACTGAAGCTGATGAGGACAAGGGACGAAGGAGCACTTACTCATCGCATTCCAAAGCATGACGAGCAGATCACAAGCCACCTCACGCAGATCAGCCGCACGTCCGTACAGACTCTGATCAACCCGTGTGCGTAACACGGCGGGTAGAGCTTCCATGCACAGATGCGATTGTTGAACGACAAAACTTCCCAGACAATGCTGGACGAGGTTGACCAATTCAGTGACAAACGTGTGCTCGGCCATCAACCGAACAGTATCAGTGCACAGTGCAGACTATATGGAATAGAGGCGGGAAAGCGGGCGCGGAATTTGTGAAATATTGACCAGAAATTAAAAAAAACGAAAAAAAGAATTGGCTAATCACGGTTGGAAAACAACTTTGGAAACAAGCATATGAACACAAATTAGATAAGTTATAGCAGGGTGATACAAATAAAACGGAGACTGTGGCACAGAGAAGATAAAGGAAAATAACCAAATGCACAAGTTTGCTCTCCAATGCGGTGACACCTGGTAGCTAGGTCATGAACCAAAATGTTGGAAGTATGAAACATTACTAGCTTGGCTTAAATTGTTGTTTGGCAGATTTGAAGTTTGTATGGCAATTGTGAAAAGTTAACTAGCCTTGGTGGGATTCGAACCCACGCACGGACGCCGCCTACGCTTTGTGCGCGCATGCTCTATCAGCTGAACTACGAGGCCACGAAACTCAGCAGGTAGAGCGTGCGTGTACAAAGCGTAGGCGGCATCCATGAGTGTGTTCGAATCCCACCGGGGCTACCGAACTTTTTACAATCGCCATATAAACTACCTTCATATGTAAAAAGAAGAGCGGGGAACAATTTAGATTAGGGGAGTGTACAGAGATAGAATCGGAAAGGTGATCGTGTAAACAATAGTTATCAATTCACGACGTTCTAACCAGGAGCATACCACGGGAAAACCTAGAGAAATTCCCAAAACTCCGTGATTACGAAGAAAAATCATTTTCGTCTGGTGACGGGAGGATTACCGCAAATGGGATGATGTTCCGAATCGTTCGCAGAAAACCTAGTTGATAAATGTGATTGGTTAAATTATCCATCATTCTTCACGATCTTTAAACTACGCCCGAGAGGAAGCGTAACACTATGGTCGAAGTTTGCCTCTCTCTATCATTCTGAGTCGCATTTTTGCACCATTTTTATTGAGGGATAGGTAGGAACTATGACAGTATCAGCTGCAGCACCAACTGAGCTAACTGTCTGGGGTGGAGCACAACCGTTCAGATGCACCAAAATATTCACAGCCAATTCGATCAGTTCTGGTTATGAGAAAACACTGGCGAACAAGTTTTCGGGGCGCGATGGGTAGAAAGAAATCACGCAATTCCGTTCCTTGAAATCATACATCAAGCCAAAAATCTACGAGCAAAGCTTTACCGAATAGGATATCTCCTGGAGGTCAGTGGATGCAGAATTTTCGAACTCTCTAACTGGATATTTTCAGCGACATAACAAAAAGGAACGTGACAGTATCGGTCTCGGGTATAATATTTGCAACCGAATGAATTAATAGGGAGGAAACAGTAAATCTGAGATGAAACTGTTACTTAGGCTTGCTAGCAGCAGCCATTCTAGGGTATATTAAAGTAGGACAGTACACAATTTTCTCGTAAGAACTTGAGTTTGATTGTTAAAACAATACCTTATTTACATTATTCAAACAAAAAGAACGGTAGAATAGTATGAAAACCAGCTAGGGATTTCTCTCCCTCACCGTGATACACTGTACACCTAAGCACCACTCTCCTGTGCCACACAGGTGGCTCCGGATCTGGTAGTGGCACCAAGAAGTAGTCTCTAGTGGATCATCCAATGGCATTGAAAAATGCATCGGACTGACTGGTGCTGGAAAGAAATTTCCATGTCTGGAAGAAGAGAGGATGTGTCGGCTAGGCAAACGTGGGAAATTCGGAGAATGAGAAAGCAAAGACAGTTTCATCTACACAAGTACCAATAAACACTCACTCGAAGAACTGGTCAATGACAGAGAAAACGCTGGAATCACAACTGTCCGACTTACACTTTCTCCGTTGATCGCAGCAAACATTGGAGTGAGGGTCACATCGATGATTGTACGCAGGACGCGTAGCTCCACAGTCGACGCGGCCATCAACATCTGAACCCAAGCACCACCGAACTCAATCGGTCTCCGACTGGGCCATGCGACCTCGTCTCGAAGAGCGATCAAATCCCGACCGGGATGACCATCCTCGGTCCCCTTGGTGGTGGCTGTGGTGGTGACAGCAGCTGCTGCTGAAACCGTTTGAACAATTGTGGAGGTGCGTTTCGGAGCTGGATAGGCCGGATAGGTGTGCATCATAGAGAACAGACTGACCAGCTCATGGACGAAATCAAACACGGGAATAAGACTTAGGCCCGAGCAGACTGGGCAGAGGCGAGCGGCGGAACATGTGCCACGAAAGTCGTCCGATGACGGCGTGAGTAGAATACGCCACAGTGAAGCATCAAATTGATCCAGCAGAGTGAGCAGGACACTGGTCAAGCAACCCTAAGGAACAGACGATAGCAACCACAAATAGAATGACGAAAAGAGTGACTCACACAACAAACGTTAAGAACCAGTCTGAGTTTAACATTCAGAGTGATCAGATAAGCGCCTGTGACACAGTTCGATTGATTTTTTCTCGTCAATCCACATTAGCTGGGGTCCTTTTAATAGATACAAGAGATCGACAGGGATGCACAAGTACTCAGCAGGCATCCACCATGACGGGTAAGTGGCGACCACAGTGGTTGGCGAGAAATTGAACCAGCAACCAGTTTTGAGAAGGCCAATTAGCGAAACCATAGACTAAATGGCGAGTATTGGTTGCGGAGTGGAAAAGTCATTAATCAGGATCAACTTTGTTTCCATTTCAAACAGAAAGAAATCCAGAGAATGAATAAGTGGTTACCTAGCAAGGATCTGGACCAAGGCACCACGTACATGTATTAACCAATTCGTCCATACCGTGTGAGGGACGAATGACAAGAAAGACCAAAGAACGAAAACGGATTGTACGACAGTGCGTCGGAGAGAAATTTGTCAGAAGTGAAAGGTGAACTTTGTGACCAACAATGGCTTCAACTATATTCAAGTATCCTTTTTCTAGCATTTCGACTAATTACCTCTTCAATTTCAAGTAAATGCGTTCTAACTTCAGATTAATCCACCCAGCACATCCTACCGAGAGCTCAAAACAGTGTGATAATTCCACAAGGCGGTGCCGGGACGAAGATATTTATTTGTTACGAATGACGGTCAGGATATCGGTAACATGGTATACATACAACCAAATGAATTCAATTCATCCCAGCTACGATTTTCAATAGGAGTCAGTGCGTAAACAATTGCCATGCTCTTACACATCATATGGTGAAAAAATGCCTACAGAATGACAGCCATTGGTTCATACATACATACAACCAAATGTCTCATTTAGAATGAGCCTTCAGAATTCCCCATACACATAGCATAGTGGATGGAACGGTCTACTATTAGATGCGCACTCTTCTAGTTGCTATACTGAACAGCAGCAATTCGCTCCAACAGGCCTTGTTTATTTTCGACCGTTGAAAGAATCGCATCAATCGCATCTTTTTGCGAACTGCTCATAAGTGTGAGTAGTATCGCACACCAAGAGTACATGGTATTTTAGCTAACGAACATTGCTTCTTGGGTTGGGTTTATCACAACAACCGTCTAATCGAAATGAGCTATTGATACGACGTACTAGTAGATCCGGAAATTACAGTACAGAATCTAATTTATGGCAACCAGTAAGCGAGTTCACATTTGGTTGTTATTGCAACGAAAAGCCTAGCTATGGTTGGAAGTGGGAGTCGTGCCTTATGGCCGGTCAAATTTCCCATTAGGCCTCATCAAACGCTCCTACATAGCCAAACTTCTGCTGGCAGAGCGCTATTTATTGGCTTGCCGTGGCTGTTTCAAAAACAAAGCGGGTGGACGAAAAGCCAACATCCGGGGCTATAAGCGGGTCATTGAACCACTATCAATTCACCCAAGGGAGTTGGCTGAGAGCCCCGATTCCAAACCGACCAAGAAGAGGCGCACAAACAACACACCTTCGTGGTTGTGTTACTGGTTACCGGCTCGATGAGGAACTGCAGTGTATTGTGCACCTTGTAGGTGTGACTCCGTCCAGGGGGGGGGGGCGATCGGATGAACTAGACACCGGTGCGCAATGAACTGTGGCTTTCACGCATTACTCCGTTGGCTTGAGCGTCAGGCTATGACCAGTTCAGAAAGAAGAACAACCTCCTCCCCACTTCCTCTCATATAGCCCTAATTCAACGGCGAACCAGGTCGAACACAGTGAGAACAAATTGTGGCTGGAGGAGAACAAACACAAGGGAACGGTACAAGCAGAACACTGCCACTTCACGAGCACTAAAGATGTCATCTCGGTTGGTGATGAAACGTTTGCAAATAAATTGCCAAGCTTGGTGAACAGGTGAAAATGAATTCAATTCATCCCAGCTACGATTTTCAATAGGAGTCAGTGAGTAAACAATTGTCATGCTCTTACATATCATATGGTGAAAAAATGCCTACGGAATGACAGTCATTGGTTCAATTAAAGGTCATTAATCGGATAAGGAGGGAAAGAGATGCGTGTGTGTGTGTATAGGAGTGTTTATCGAGTTAGTGGATGTGACCATTCGCCATATAGGTCAAGGGACACGTTCACACTGGGTCAGGGCAATTGAGGCGCTTGCACCAGCCGTTTTTGGGCACGTGTTCCTTGGTCCAAATGGCGAAAGGTCACAGCCAATGACACAGCAAACGCTCCTACACACACACACAAACACACACACACACAAACACACACACACGTCTCTTCCCTCCTAATCCGATTAATGACCATGAACTGAACCAATGGCTGTCATTCTGTAGGCATTTTTTTACCATATGATATGTAAGAGCATGGGCG